CCTCATCCCAAGCCTTGCGGGCGAACCCAAAGTCACTCAATTTGGCCTCATTTTCACTGTTCAGCAAAACATTGTCTAATTTGATGTCCCGGTGCGCTATAAACAGCCCGTTGTGAAGATAACTGAGTCCTTCGGATGTCTGAGTGAACCAACGACAGGCCAACTGCTCGGGTATTGCTTTATGTTTTTTGATGTAACCGCTGAGGTCTCCATTGCCCGCGAACTCCATGAATATATACAACTTGTGATTGGATCTGAATATATCGTAGAGTCGGATGATATATCTGTGGTTCGCGTCAATCATGGCTTTCATTTCTCGCGGATAAAACTTATTCTTCAAGTTGTCGTTCGCCTTATCCAAGTCCATCACTTTGACGGCCACTATCTCATCGCTCCCATCAGTCCTCTTAGCCATAAACACCTGTCCAAAGGACCCGGAACTCAGTGCCCGCACTAACTCATAATTCTTGCGCTGAAATACGGCTGCCGTTTTCGAGTCGATGTTTATGGGAGGGTTTGACATCACTTTAGATCAGATACTCAAATGAATCCAAAATTATCTAAATCTATATAATTTGTACTGATAATATAAAGTTTTAGATTTTTTGGATATTTAAAAAATATCAGCACGTGAACAATAAATTAAATTTATATGAATTTCATACTTACATGAAACAATTACTACATAAAATAAAAACAGTAATTTAATGGCATAAAATTAATATTGAACTGAATTTAGTAATTTTATTATCAAGTATCTAACAATTAAATGATTTCAATACAACTATACAGTAATATTTTGATAAACCAGACTTATTTACAACTATTTTATGTTTTTATTACACATAAAAACTAGATTTTATAATTATATTATATATATATATATCTAACAATTAAATGATTTCAATACAACTATACAGTAATATTTTGATAAACCAGACTTATTTACAACTATTTTATGTTTTTATTACACATAAAAACTAGATTTTATAATTATATTATATATATATATTTTATATATCTAAAACAATTTGTGAATTTTAAAGGTTTGTATTTAATAGATATAAAATGTATGGATTTGATTGAATATATTGAACAGGTTATGAGCAACACTTGGACTTCTTTACAATCCATGAACTCTTGAGGATATCATTGACATCACACCTCTCGGACTCGTCATATGTAAGCATACATTTGATGAGTTGCTTAATGTGTTTGCAAAACTGTTTACATATCTTTTGTCCAAATACTCGGAGTCGTTCATTTCTGTTAACATCTTTTTGCCACCCTTTCCGAAATGATAGACAAACCTGTCGTTAAGCATCGCAAATAACGCTATACTCATCGCCCAGACATCTGCCTTATAGGCGTCGTATCTGACTCTCCGGACCAGTTGTGGGCTATAGTAGGGTTCGGTTCCGCAGAAAGTGTCGCTAAGAATAACTTCTTTCTTCTTCTCATCCCAAGCCTTGCGGGCGAACCCAAAGTCACTCAATTTGGCCTCATTTTCACTGTTAATCAAAATGTTGTCTAATTTGATGTCCCGGTGCGCTATAAACAGCTCGTTGTGAA